CAAAGCTGGTCGCTATAGTCTTTACCCGGAATATTTGGTCCTTTACCTTAGAGACCAAAGTTGGTCGCTAATTAGCGACCAACTTTGGTCCCTAAAATAAAGGGACCAGCTATATTGCGACCAGGCATGTTTGGTCGCTTTTTGGTCGCTTTTAGGCTTATAAGCGACCAACTTTGGTCGCTTTTTGTGGTCGCTTTTTACCGGACTTCTAGTAGTGCTAGTCTTAAATAATATTTTAAGGACAATCACTCTGGTCCATAAAAACAATACTGCTGGTCCTTAAAGTTTGTATCGATAAATCTCAATACTAATCAAATGCTATAAAAATCATTGGCACAAAAAATAATATAAAAGATAAATCTTTCTATTACAAAAATTGAGTAACTTCTTGTCAATGCCAAGATATATATATATATATATCCATGATGTAAGTTACAATAACGTCTACAAAATCCCATAGCAAAAACACATAATTAATATCCCTAGATTAGAAATATAATACTATTTTTTGCAATAATATCCTAGCAAAACGATAGTCATCTTCTAAGCTGCATCTTGACTTGTAAGTTATACTCTCAAAAACCTGAAAAAGGAATGCAAACAATTATTGTTAAAAAATAAATTAAAAGAAATCAAAAAATCAATTAATTTACTGGGATAATTATTTAACCTCTTACCTGAATAAGTGCCCAAATTACAAACATAAACCATCATTGTAAAATAGGCTGCATAAACATAAGTGGGTTAGAAATAATATGTTTTGGATAATAAGAACAATAACTCTAGTTTTCCTAAGCCTTTATTTGTCTGATTGCTTATCAGTCTACTGAACTTGTTTAACTGATTAACACAGTGATATGTGTTATAGCGTAGTATGAATCTTGTCTAAATCTGCATTCTGTTCAGTTAACTATGTAACCATAAGCAAACATTTATGAAGGAAAACTGCAGTCCCTAAAATAGCTTTATGAAACTCATTAACGCGACATATGTATGACAACAATATAAAACTATTGCTAAACTCATGCAACTGGAAGTCAGTAGAATGAGTGCCTATTCCAATATTCAAAAGATTTTAAGGCTAAATTTGATTAAAAATTAGTACATCACTCAGCCAGAAGACAAAAAGAAGCAAACGATTACATCCTTCTTCCTAATAAATCCAGAAAATGCATATATTGATGAAGGAACATGTAGGAAAGCAGCATATGCTCAGACTTTGGCACCACCCATAAAACACCACAAATGTTTAGAAACAGATTCCAAATTTGCCACTAGTTCTTAAAGCTATTTATATATTTAGATGAATTTTCTTATGTGCAGACAAGTTGTATTTTAATTTTAAAAAGCTGCACTTTTAAAGTTCAGAAAAGGTCCCAAGAATCCATCACAAAGCATGTCGACTTTGATATTCAAGGAAAATTACTGCAACTAGAAAGGTGTCAAATGCGACAATAGATGGGAACATGTAGAAAAGCAGCAAATGCACAATCATCAACAAAATGAACCAATATTCCGAGTAAGTTGTTACTAACTTGGTATGTTAATCAGATGATCATTCTCCTGAAACGGTCGATGTCGGAGGCTGGACATTGGAGTGTTGAGCCAATACTAGTTTCTTCAAATCTTTCATCTCACTTTCTAATGTAGACACACGATCCTTCAAAGATTTGTTTTCTTCTCGAGTCGAACGTAACTCAGATATTAGTTCAGCCTTTGAAGAAGCGCCACCTTTCAGATCTTTTGCTTTTACTCCACCTCCATAACCAAATATATGGCTGCGAGTTTGAGGTCCAAAGCATTTTTCTACAATCTCTATGCTTGGAAGAGACGGTTCAGACATCACCAATTCTCGGATTTGAGCCTGAAAAGTATATAAAGAGTTTGTCAGAACACATGCTAACTAAAAGTAAGGTAGATGTTCAATTAACCAAATGCACATGTTTCTCAATTGTTTCAAAATCAACAAGTGTGTTATTCTTCTTGCGAGTCTCAAAGAAAATAGTTGCCAAATCTGGTGGGTTGCCATCTTTTCCTCCCTTTCACATCAAAGTAAACCATGTCAAATAGTGTATGTAAATATTCAAAGAAAAGAATTGAGATTTTATGATAGTACCTTTTGATAAATAATTTCTCTAATTGGCTTGCTACCAATATGATGAAGCATCTTTAGCTTAGCTCTATTTGCTGCGTTCCTATGGCTTCTCGCCTATATTAAAGTAACAATATTAGATTGAAATGTTATAAATAGATTGAACACAAGGTCATACATTCATTTGCAAGGTACCCCTCTGCGATAGAGCCTTCTGGACAAGCCCTATTACCAATAAGAGATTTTAAAAAATATAACCATCGCTCTATAGGATACATCCACCGATATTGAATAGGTCCAGCAAGCATAGCTTCATTAGCCAAATGAATAGGCAAGTGTACCATGACATCAAAAAATGAAGGAGGGAAGACTTTTTCTAACTTGCAAAGAGTTATAGGAATCTGAGCTGCAATTCGTTCCAAGTCATCCATCCTTAACACCTTAGCTCCAAGCATATTGAAAAAATAAAGACAACTCAATAAGTGGTTCACATACATCTTTGGACAACATACCACGTAGTGCAAGAGGGAGTAAATGTTACAAAAGAACATGGCAATCATGACTCTTTAAGCCAGAAATCTTGTGTTCTTTCAAGTTCACACATTGAGAAATATTAGATGAAAATCCATCTGAAACCTTTAAATTCTTTAAAAAGAGGCATAACTTGTGCTTTTCTTGGGGAGATAATGTATAACTTGCAGTTGGAACTTCGTACTTTTCTCCCTTTTTGATGGGGTGCAGTTCCCGCCAAATGTTCATTTCTTGCAAATCTAGCCGAGCATTAATGGTGTCCTTGGTCTTTCCTTTGGCATTCATGATCGTCCCCAAAATATTATCACATATATTTTTCTCAATATGCATAACGTCCAAATTATGCCGCAACAACAAAGATTTCCAGTAGGGAAGTTCAAAAAAAATACTTCTCTTATTCCAATTATCCTTTCGATTCTCATGTGATATTTTGATCTTTTTCTTTGGATCCTTCGTTAGATGTAGCCCTTCAAGATCCCGCACTTGATTAAGTATTTCAATACCAGAACGTATTTTTGGTGGGAGTCGTCGCTCTTTTGTGCCATCAAATGACTCCTTATCATTCCTCCATCTGTGATTAAGAGGAAGATATCGTCGATGACCCATAAAATAATGTTTCTTACTATTAGTCAATCTAATTGAGAAAGTATCTTTATTGCAACATGGGCCTGCCAATTTTTCTTTTGTACTCCATCCAGATAAATTTCCATATGCTGAAAAGTCATTAATGGTCCATAACAAAGAAGCATGCAACTTAAAATTCTGTCTAGTAGATACATCAAAGGTCTCAACACCAATTTCCCATAACTCATTTAGTTCCTCTATCAAAGGTTGAAGATATATGTCAATTGCATCTCCTGGACTATCTGGACCAGGAATAAGCATTGACATAATAAAATTTTCTTGTTTCATATACAACCAAGGTGGTAAATTATAAGGAATAAGTACCACCGGCCAAATGCTATATGAGGTTTTTGAATTGCGAAATGGCTGAAATCCATCACTAGCAAGTCCAAGTCGAACATTACGAGGCTCGGCCACAAATGAGGGATGAAGTTCATCAAATGATTTCCAAGCCGTTAAATCAGCTGGGTGCCTCATTATTCTATCATCAACTCTTTAATCATGATGCCATGTCATTAGAGAAGATGTCTTTGTAGACATAAACAACCTTTGAACTCTAGGCTTTAATGGAAAATAGCACAAAGTCTTAGCTGCTATCTTTTTGTCTTTTTTATTCTTTGCTTCCCCGCTATGTTTGTTTATTTTCCATCTGGATGCACCATAAATTTTACAAGAATCAAGTAAATTATCCTCCTTCCAGTATAACATGCAATCATTTATACAAGCATCAATCTTATAGTAGGAAAGCCCAAGATTCCGAATTACTTTCTTTGCCTCATAATATGAATTTGGCAAATCCGCTTCATCGGGCAACAACTCATCCTTTAACATTTTTAATAGCATTGTAAATGACTCATTGCTCTAGCGATCCATACTTTTTATATGAAGCAATTTAATCAAAGTGGAAAGCTTTGAAATTTTTGAGTTTTGGTATAGTGGCTTCTCAAAATCCCTCAATAGACTGTAAAATCTTTTGGCTTCAACATTCGGTTCCTCTTGAAGTAAATCATCACAACCAATATCTGCAGTGCTTCTATCATGATTAGGATATAGATCTCTCAAAATTTCTTCTATTTCATCCTCACTCTCGTATTCTTCTGCTTCATTATCATCTTCATCTTCATCTTCAAGTTCCGACTGTGGCTCACCTAAAACTTCTCCATGGTGATACCAAAAAGTATAATTCTTTATTATTCCATATACTTTCAAATGTGACTTGACTATCTCGCGTGTTCCTAATGTTGTGTTACAACATTTGACACAGGGACATCATATTTCATACGACTCTCCTGTTCTTCTAAAAGCATAATCTAAAAACTTCTGCACCCCAATTAAATAGGCTTCATCGAGCCGATTATCAACAAGCTGCATCCATTCTTACTTGATGCCATAACCTTAAAGAGTATAGAAATATTAGATGAAGAAAATTATTTAGAATAACAAAATACATTGATGCACACAACCTTTTATTAACTTGCAAACTCTTTTAGTGATCAATACTTCCTAAGATATCACAAGATGAGATAAACTATAAATTGAAAGTCAAAACAGATAATATACTCGGCCAATAAATACATGATGTGTCTTTGCGACAATAACCTGACGAATCATGGTTATCTTGTAAACTGTCCTTCTAGAAAAGTCTAACAGTAACTCTCTTATAGTTTTTTTTAAAGAAAACACAAAAATAGCAACAAATTTAATGGTAAAATCTTGCGCAGATTCAGTTTTCCTTTTTGATTCATCTATTGACAAAAATACCAGAGTGCATAGATATGTGTCATATGTGTGTTTATGTAATGCAGAAAGAGACATTCATAATTTCGCGACATTCATTACTTTTGCTATTTATCGCTACTGCTTAACATATGTTCGTATTGGGAAATGGTAACTCAATATGATAAAGGTAGAGAAGCATATCTAAATAAAATCCCACAATATACCCACGACAATTTCATAGCCCTTCAAGAAAGTTCACAAAACTCTTGTTTAACCCTAATAGACAAAACCCTCAATAAATTCACAAAGACTTCAGTTTAACACACAACAAAAATTAATAATTTCAAAAGAAAAAAAAGAAAAAGAAAAC